TGTGCCCATAAATGTAGTTTTAAGATTATCCCATAATTAATTAAATTCTCCATAATTAAAGATAAGTCTAACGTTAAAAGAAACACCAAAGGTCTCAAATTGATGGCCATATTTTTCCATCCAAAATTGACTTCCTTTGCCTCTATATTTCTTTATTTTGAACAAGCCGCTAAATTTTTCAGAAGTAAATTAATATGGACAATTAAAATTTTAACAATGACTTCTCATGCCTAATCAATAGTCTACAAACTTCATTTTCTCTCTAAAATTTTCATCTGTCTCAAACCTTTACTTCTTTACATATTTTTCTCTTTCTTCATTCTGTCAACTCCTCAACTTTGCTTCTTCTTCTTCACCGGAGCATTTGGGCTTGTTTGGATTACCGTTTGGAATGCCAAAAGCATACAGGAAAGCATGAAACTGAGGTTTGTGACTTATTGCAACTCAGAAGATTGTTTGGATTGAGCTTCGTTTCTAACTGACTTATGAAAAAAAGTAACTTTTCTAACTGACTTATCCAACGCAATCTGAATCAACTTTTCTAACTGACTCATAGAAAAATTGTGCAAAACTTATGATCTAATTAGTTATGTGATTCTATTTACTTTAATTAGAGACCAAATAATATTTTAATTTATATTCATATTTGTTCATTATGTATATTTAATTAATTATCTACAATATATTTTCAAATTTTTCTCAGTAACAAATATTTTTATTTTATAATTTTAAAAATAAACTATTTATATTTTATCATAATATTTTACATTTTTTTAAATTATTATCACATTAAAAATAAAATTTCAAACACTACTCCATATCTTTTTCAATCATTTTACAACTAAACTAACTTTTCTATTAATCATCCAAACAACTTTTGACTTTTTTAACTGACTTTTTAAAGCATCTATCCAAACATAAATTGTATTATACTAACTGACTTTTACTCTAACTTCAGTTACAAAAGTCAGTTGGGTTAGAAGTCAGTTTTGCCAACGCCAATCCAACATACCCTTGTCTGTTTCTCTTTGCAGCACAAATGGTGTTTCAGAGATATGAATCCTGAGTTTTCTACAATGTTTTTTTTGGTGTTTTTTTCATCATTTATTGCAAAACTTCATATCATATCAGTAGGTATTTTAAATATGCACATTTCATCCCCAGTTTTTTCTCCTCTTAGATGTGTCTTGATCTTTCTTCTCTTTCTCTTTTGCTCAAATTTGACCCGTCCGGCTATTGAAAACCCGCTCCGGTTTGCATGTTAACTGCGGGTTCTGGATCAAAAGTCTGCCTTAAAATGGTCCAAAACAGCTTAATGCACAGAACGCACTACAAAAATTTGACTTTCATCGGCGACAAAGTCGCCGCTGAAAGTCAAAAGTCGCCGCTGCAAAGTTTTAGCGGGCCAGGTCGTTGCTGTAGCGGCCGTCGTTGAAACTTATCAGCAGCGACAAAATAAAGTCGCCGCTCAAAAGATATCCAGCGGCGGCAAGCTTTATATCGCCGCTGAAAGCTGCATCTACAGTGGCGACAATTGTGTCGCCGCTGAATGTTGTCGCTGAAAACCCAATTTTTTGTAGTGACAGTTAAACCTACTAAAACCCAAGAATATGTTTTGAAAGAAGGGAAGGGAAGGAAATAGAAAAATCCCAACTGCAAGCACTTCTGGTTTTGGAGAAGGGAATTGACGAATTAATTAACATCCACATCTGGATATTATCAAACACATGTAGATGTCAAACAAAAACTCTATTTTTAGAGATTTAACGATAATAAAAGAAGCAGAGCCCAAGATCAATTAGAGCCCTCTTATTCGTATAGCAGAAGCGAGAAACTTCTTGCACGCCAGAGGATTGACGAACAAAAGGAGATTAAAAAGAAATAAAACTACTAAGTAAAACATTATTACTGAGACACTTTGATAACCTACTATCTCTAATTTTTAATCTAAAATTGAGCTGATTAATTTAAAGAGGTTAAGAAAATTAAATAAATAACTTTAAAGTATTGTATTTATCATTTTTCTTTAAAGTAATTTGTCCGACATATATCATTTAATGATACATATAAGTATTATAGAGAGACCATGTATCATACTACTTGTGGTTCTTAACATAAGAGCAAGTTAATTAATTTGAGTAGATTAAAAAAATTAATTAAATTAGTTATTTATAATAAATAAGCATTGTTTTTTATAAAATATCCTTACTAATTATGTGTATTAGCTAGAGTTGGCATTTGACGAAACTTTTAATATGTATACTACTACAAAGATTATCTTGAAAGAAAATAGATACATGCAAAAGACAAAATGAATTATAGTCTTATATTTAAGATCTAATTGAATGTCAAATTAACTCTTATATTAAAAATTGGAGGTAGGATACTATAAGTTAACAATTTTTGGGCTTCCTTAATTTCTTCAAATAAATTAGATGGATATTATATCGCGAGGTAGTAAAACTTAAAGATCATCATCTGCAAGTTGCAAATTAGAGTACTTTAACTTCTCAAATGATTTTTGGGTCTCGGAGGGTAGCTGCTCCGCTTCAAACAACGGCATGTCAAACTTCGAATTCCGGTGTCTGCATGCGCTGGCCAGCAGAAACTGGATTTGATATGTATCCGATGAGCTTGCAAAAGACTCCAGATCCAAATCACAATTACAAATATCTAATATCCATGTAAGAGATTTTATAGTGATGATTTATATATTTTCTCATTGTGTGATCTATGTGGTTCTTGATTGATTCGAAACAATGCAAGGATGAACGTAAGTAGCGAAAGAATAGGATAAAAATAGAGCCCTCTTATTCATAAAGCAGAAGCGAGAAACTTCTTACAGAGCAGCAGCCAGATTGCACAAAAGGAAATTAAAGAGAAATAAAAGTACAAGAACTAGCAAACACAGGAAGGAGCAAATGAAGTTTGATAACTTGGCGGAGAGATCATCGCCTAAAACTTGCTAGTTGCAAACGCTGGCAGCAAAGTAATTAGAGTCTGGATCTGAAGAGTATTTTCTCAAACGATTTTTGGCTGTTAGAGAGTAGTTGCTCCCCACGGAACAACGCCTTTGCTGCGGCCAAAGCCTGTTCCATGGCGCTCTTGGTCTCATGACATGAGGGTCTCTTAAGCTTCAAAAGATACGCTGCAACGACCATCTCAATCCCCACGTTCGCTGTCGGCTCCTTAATACTGCACAGAACTTTCAGGTGGTTCACTATAGTTCTTTCTTCAACGTCTTTCCAATTGAAGTTCAGTAAGCAAATACCACAGGAAAAAGAAAAGGTTAATTATATTGATGCTTAATATGATATACAAATTGCACAATTTAGAAGATGACGACGACTGCGAACTCGGAACGCACCATGTGGCTAAGGTAATCTTCCTACTACTACACTTTGAGCATCCGATCTACCTTTAACGGTTAATGGAGATGGTGAATATCCAGTGCTCATCAAGTGATGAGCACCGAATGCAGGTCGGGCGAGGGTTTTCCCACAGCGTTGCTTATATCTTGAAGCACACCCTGCTGAAAAATGTCATCACCTCCGTTTCCTCTATTCTCTGCGTCATCACGTTCATGATTTCTACCTTTTGGAGAGTTCATGGTCATCTATCTCTCAACCTCAACCTTCGATCGATGGCACACCCCCTCTCAAGTGCAGCTTTTATGCTCTAAATTAGTTTTTATCCGGTTCGGAACCTCTCCTCTTTTCTTCTCATCCTCTTTCCTCCTCTTCTTTTTTTTAATTGTTAGATTAACATATTTCAACAATTTAAATTTTATTTTTTATAAAGTAATTATAAAATTTTTTTAAAAAAATTTAGTGCCCTTGCAAATCATTAAAATTAAATTTTAATATAGTTTATAATTTATAATTTATTTATTGTTATAATTTACTATTTTAATAATAGCTTTAAAAATATTTAAATCTAATCATTAAAATATTAATCTAATAGTTAAAAAATGAAGAGAAAGGAAAAGGATGAGAAGGGAAAAGGAGAGGTTCCAAACCGGTTTTTATCTCCCTCCATCGGCTCATCCTTGTGAAACAAAATAAACAATCACTTTATTAAGGGTTTGATTTGCCCTCGTTAATATCATCTTTTAATTTGCTTGGATGAATTCTTACTTCTTCATTCAAGTCAACATCTCCACTTTATTTGTTTGGATTATGCAACTTGTATGGGGAAAACAAATAAGTTTAAAACCGCCGGGGGGGGGGGAATCAAAGTCAGCAAAGAATTGCTAATTTTTTAAAAGAAATTTGCCTACAGTAGGTTCCAAGTCTCTTGGAAAAAAAGAAAGAAAAGAACTACAAGTAGGTGTTCCACATTTCATTTAATACTACTAGGATTATAGGAATTTAATATTCATAAATTTGACTTGTCAATCGCGCAACTCAAATTGTAAATTGAATATAATACTCCTTCTATCTTTATTTTAGCCTTGATCTTAAATACTACGTCCGATTATTAATATAAGAACTTCTTTGATATTCAATTTAATTCTAAACATGAAATCTCAGTCCATCAGGAAAAGTAGATGTACTTGGAGTTTTTTTCATCACAATCATTGGAATCGTTGTGGGAAAACGCAGATGAATGATGATGTTTCGGTTTATTTGTTTTTTTTTTTTTGCCATGATTTTTGGTTCACTTGTTGACTTAGGGGCCTGTGAATAAATTTATGTGAAATTTATAAATCATTAAAAAATAAAATATCATGCTGTTGTAGCAATTTTTTTTAAAAATAAAACAAAAACAAATGCAATAGTTCGGAGCAAGTGTGTGGGGTTATAAATAATGGCGATGTGAGGGACACCAGGGCAGGTGCAGGCGTGCAGCCAATTTGGCGAAGCGGAAATAAAGTAGGTGAAGTGATATTTGTTGAGTTTTGAGGTGAGATGTGCTATGTACGCACTGCCGCTGTAGATGTCATTCTTTCTATTTTTGTTTCACTGATATTAACTTCACACTGTCGTTTGTCAGGCCTAATGGGAGGTGAATGGATCGTTGAAATTGAAAGGGCGCTGGGATGCGTGGATCTAGATATAGTAAAGACGGGCAGTATTTGCAGGGTTCCAAACAAAATTCGAGAAGCCGAAGCTGAAGCCCAAGACAAAGACAAAGACAAAGGCTACTGTTACAGGCCTCGGTTTGTGGCCATGGGAACCATCCACAGGGCCACCAGCAGAAGCGACCTGCAAATCATGGAAGTGACCAAATGGCGCTACATGAAGTCGCTTCTTTCGCGTTCAGGGTCAAGGGGCGAGGATATGAAGAAGACCCTTAAAGATTGCTGCAAGGCCATTAAAACCATAGAGGGCCAAATTCGGGCAAGCTATGTGGAGAAAATAGACATGGGAGCAGAGGAGTTTGCCAGAGTCATGTTACTTGATGCCTGCTATCTCTTCGAGCTTCTGCTGAGGCTCAAAGAGAATAGGACTGATGATCCTCCCATGGATAACAAGGAGAAGATGTTGCGTCTTCTCACTGATCTCACGCTGCTCGAGAACCAAATCCCTTTCCTCCTCCTCACAATTTTGCACGAGCGACTTTTCACTGCTCAGCAACACAAGTCTGTACCTTCTCCCCAACAACTTGCCGAGTCACTCTTTGAATGCAACCTTGCCGGAGGTGCTCATTTCCTTCACCTCATCCACTCGTGCTCCCCTGATACCTATGAAAACAAAAAGGAACGCGGGAAGCATCCGCAACTGCAGCGCTGCGCTAGAAAGCTTCAGGCTTTTGGAATCAGAATAATCGGCAAGGCTTCCGAAACTAAGTATTCTGACGGTAATAATAGTACATGCTGTTAAACTAGTAATTTAACCCTACCACTACTATTATTGTATGAGTTATCAATGAAGTAGTCACCCGATTAATTTGCAACATTGCAGGCAATAAGGAATCAGATATTGTGACTGCTGCACTCAGGGAATTCGTGGACAAGTTCAATTTCGAAATAACATTTGAAGGAGGAAAACTGGAAATCCCAACGCTGCACATAAAAGAAGCGACAGAAGTGAAATGGAGGAATTTGATTGCTTGGGAGCAAATCGGTTTGACTGGAATCGGCTACAAATTCACCTCCTACGCTTACTTTTTCAAAGGTTTGGTGTGTTCTCTTGACGATCTCAAGCTGCTTAAACACAAAGGAGTCATCACGGTGCATAACGAGGCCATCAACGACGAGGATTTGGTGAAAATGTTCCAAAGCATCACAAACGGCGCGGAACAAATGGATTCCAGATACAGGACAATATGTGAGGGATTGAACAATGCCGAGGTGAAAGGTGTGGCGGGACGTCGCGTCCTCGTTTTCACAATGTCGTGGCATTATTTGCGGTATTTTGTGGAAGGATCAAAATTCTGGCTCTTCAGGCTCGCATATATCTATTTGGGCACTGCATGGAGGATCGCCGGAGTTTTTTCCGGTATAGCCCTGTTTGGTCTTACTATTACGCAGACCGTTTATTCAATACGGGCTGTAGAGTGAGATTTAGACAAACATGCAGGGAATCCATTATGTTCACTTGGATGCTAGTGTTGAATAAAAACCCCGTCTAAATTAAATACGTGTGTTCCTTTTGGTGGAACCAAGTCAATGATATAATATTTTCAAATTCACCGTGATGGGATATGAAAAGAAATATTTATGATTTTATTATATTTCTAGGATATCTAGTTATTTGGATTTATTATCATTTTAGGATTTATTTAGATTCATTAATATTTTAGTATTTTTATTATTAGGAGTAGTTATTATTATTATTTTTATTTGTTTAAGTATAATTATATCTAGGGTTTTCACTCTATGACAAACTTGATTATTGAATGATATTGCAGTTATCATTTTCTCTTGACTTGTTTCCTCTTCTCCGTTCTTTATGTCCCCTTCTTTGCTCTTTGTAACCTCTTTTCTCCTCCTATTTTACCTCAATTTGGCATCAAAGCCCAGTTGGTGCTTTCCCTGCGTGTTTAATTTGTTTGTTTTTTAAGTCCAAACACGCTCTTCTTTGAAAATCTTCCATAACCGCCGCTATTCACCATCCTTTATCCTTTTGCCATTTTTCGATGTTGTTTCACCACACCGCCGCCATCATTATTATCATCAACTAGAACACGGTCAGATCCAAAAATTTTAAGAACTACATTGAGGTCAAATTTTAAGAACTAAAAATAACATCAATCCTGAGAAGATTTATATGAATTATATTTTTATGATATAGAATTGATGGTGAAAAGTTGTGTGTGTGTGTGTGTGTGTGTGTATACGCGTGTGTCCATCAGAAGTAAAATAAGGTCGCATATTCTCCAAACCAGTCTCATCTTTATCGTAGTATCAGAACGTGGTTCCAAATTCAACGAAAACACAGTAAGCGAATCAAAAGCACAATTTTCTTCTTGATGCTCATCTACTTTCGGGCTATCAGGCCATAAACCGTGCATATTGATTCTATCCCGTGGTACTGATAACTAGTAGCTCCTAAATCGGGGAGATTTTTATGCATTCATGTCTTCCGCTTTTAAATAACTACGGCTAATAAAAATCAAATAGTTATTTTTTTATAAAAGAAAATTTTATTCAACATAAATAAAACTATTATTATAGTAGAAAGCCGGCTAATTTAAGCAAAGCCCAAATAAATCAAAAGAAAATGTCGGCCCAAAACATCTAAAACATGAAAAGAACATAAAGCAGCAACCAGTAAAATTAAAAAAAAATTAAAACATCTGCAGCAGCACATCCTGCAACACCAATCTCATGATATATAGTCAACCAAAAAAACTCACACCAAAGTAGAGCTGAAGCTCACACTAAGGTTAAAATCAATCCCAAATAAAACCCAATTAATGAATGTTCAGGCATTAAATTTTCTCTTTTCGTTTAACTTTAACAAATAATTAAATTTAAATATTGAAATGTTAGAGGATTATATTCAACTGATTTAAAATTTAGCAGGTTTTGTGCATTATATCCTAAATTTTTTTTGTCTTGTTATTCTTTATTCTTTTGACCAAATTTTGTTATTCTTTATTTAATGAAAGAAATTCACGTACCTATTGTCTATTATTGATAATTCCTATTCTATTATGTAATTTTAGGAATTTTTTAATGATATTTAGGTATATTTGCAGAAGTTGTTATGAAATTATAATAAAAGGAATTATATGATATTAATAATAAAAAGAACTTAATTTTCATATTTTTATAAAGATAGATTTACAGAAGTCCTTATTGCCTAAATATTTATTTTTGCATAGTTGGCTCCTCAGATCCCTTATTTACGTTATTGCGGTGAGTATGCTGCCTATATCACCTAGCTGATGTCGCCTCCATAGGCAAAACGCCGCACGATTATTGAGCTATGAGAGGACGATGGTGGATGCATAATTGATGACAGTGGGGTCGTTTTGTTTTATATTTTTACCCGCCATAAACTTGGCCCCGTGCTCCGTATACACAGGCTCCTCTGTCCTCATTATTCTAAATATCTATTGCTTTCTTTATGTGAACCTATGAGAATTTACCACATGGTTGTCACGCTCGTCACCGATGCTTATTGATCGTCTACTGCAACGGAAAGAAAGCTACTTGTCCCTCATAGATGTGACAGATTTTTTTCAGCTATGTATAACTTGTATAGACAACAGGGCTTCACCATGTTTAGCACTTTTGTTTCTTGGTCAGACATGGTTAATCCAACATCATACGTATATGCATGGGAACTGCATCAAATCATTAGAGATAGTAAGGGAAAAATTTCATTCGATGGCCCCACATTATGAAATTTATAAGAGAAATCAGAATCCAATAATGATTTAATATTTTTGCTGGACTTAGAAGTTTGAATTACAAATTTTTAATGTTATAATAGTTTAAAGATTATATAGAACTTCAAATAGGAATAAATAGTATTTCAGAAAGTTATTCATTAACAAAATTAAAGTAATAACTTGATTTCTAGATATAGTATAATTTAAAATTTAAAATTTCTTATTTTATTTCACGTATATTTTTATTTTATCAGTATTGTTTTTGTTTTTAATAATATAAACATAAATAATAAAGGACGATATCATATGAGGCTCACAAGGGCAGATCAGATCCGACCACTTTGGCGAAGCGGAAATCAAGTAGGTGATGAGTGAATCGTCGTAACTCGTTTCGCACTATGCCATTCTTTCAAAATTTTGTTTCACTTATTAACTTAACAACGTTGCTTGTAGTCAGGCCTAATGTCACCGGAAGGAACACGGCATGAAGGAGTTCACCCCGATGATAAATGGATTGTTGAAATCCAGATGGCGCTGGGATTGGCATATGAAGGTGAAGTAAAGACAGGCAGTATTTGCAGGGTTCCTGAGAGAATTGGAGCCAAAGACAAAGGCTTCATTTTCAGGCCTCAGATTGTGGCCATGGGACCCTTTCACGGGGGCACCAGAAGCGACCTGCAAATCATGGAGGAGACCAAATGGCGCTTCATGCGCAAGCTTCTTAGGCGTCCGACCGATAACAAGTTGCTGTCCAAGACCGTTCGAAGCTGCAATGAGGCCATCAAAGGCATAGAGAGCATAATTCGAGCGAGCTATGGGGAGAAAATAGAAATGGCAGCAGAGGAGCTTGCCAGAATCATGTTACTTGATGGTTGCTTTTTCCTAGAGCATCTGCTCCTGCTTGCTGAGCATCAGACCAATCCTACTCCTGTTGATGGCCACAAAACCACGTTGCTTCTTCTCACTGATCTCACGCTGCTCGACAACCAAGTCCCTTTCGTCTTTCTCACAACTTTGTCCAGGAAACTTTTAAAACTTCATGGGGCTGCTCAGTAGCAACCACAGCTTGCCAGTCTACATGCACTTTCTAGCCAAGTTCACGATGAGGTCAAACTTTCCCCGGAAAATATTGCCGACTCGCTCCTTAAATGTAACGTCGCCGGCGTTGACTTCTTCAAAGGTGTTTATCATTTCCTCCATCTCATTCACTTGTGCTCCCCTGATCCCTATCACCAAGAGGAACAAGGGAAAGATCCGCTACAACAGCAGCGCTGCGCTAGAAAGCTCCAAGCTTTTGGGATTACAATTAAGGATGCACAAACTAACGATTCTCAAGGTAATACGTGCGTTGTTAAAGTAATTTAACCTTATTTCTACCATACTGTTTGAGTTATCAGTGAATTGTAGTATTTCATCTTTAAAAGCGAGCCGGCTTCTCACCAAATTTGCAACATTGCAGACAATGATGACAAACTAGGAACTGTGGCTTCTGTACTAACGCAATTCACGGACAAGTTCAAATTCAAAATAGTAATACCTCCGGTCTTTATTATAAGACCCCGTTTAACTTTTTATTTGGTCCTAATTATAAGACCCCAATCCATTTTGTCTCTCATATTTATGCATTTTTTTCTAAGATAATCCTTCTAATAATAATAGTTATAGCCAATATGCTTAATTAGTAAGGATATTTTAGGAATGATAACACTTATTTATTACAAATAACTAACTTAACTTACTTCCTTAATCTCCTCAAATAAGTCAACTGGGTCTTATAATTAGGACCGGAGGTAGTATTTAATGCAGGGCAGCGGGAGCTGATCATCCCGCGCTGCACATAAAAGAAGCAACGGAAGTAAAATGGAGGAATTTGATTGCTTGGGAGCAACTCGGGTTGAGTGGAATCGGCTACAAATTCATGTCCTATGCTTATTTTTTCAAAGGTTTGGTGTGTCGTGCTCATGACATCCAACTGCTCAAAGACAAGGGAGTGATAAGAGCGCATAAGGAGGCCAAGGACGAGGATTTGGTGGTTATGTTCCAAAGCATCGCTACCGAGGAGGAACGAATGGATGCGAGATACGAGGCAGTATGTGAGGGATTGAACAAAGCCAAGGTGAATGGTGTGGCGGGACGTTGTGTCCTGGTTTTGAGAATGCCGTGGCATCATGGAGCCATTTTTTCTGGACATTGTGTGACGGTTTGGCTGCTTTTTCTGGGATGGCTTCGACGAGGATTCAAAACCTTGTTCGATATCTATTTGAGTTCTCCTTTGAAGGGCCTCGGAGTTGTTGTCGGTGCAGCTCTGCTTGCTCTCACTATTACGCAGACCATTTGCGTAATACGTGCAGTAAAGTGAGATTTAGAAAAGCATGTTGATTTATGTTCGCTAGGATGCCATGGCCTTCAATATATCCAATTGTTCTTCTTATTAGCCAGAACCCTTTAATGCCACAGTACTAGTTTAAAGGGGGGGAAAAAACTCATCTCAGGTAGATAACTAGTTTAAAGTGTCATTGATGATGGAATGAAACTGCCGAACTGAGTGAAAGAATTTTGCCAGAAACAGAGACATATTAATCTCACCGTGGGACTACTTTAACAAAAAATAAATAGACACGAGAAAAAAAATAAATTAAAATTTTATATTTAAAACTACAGCATTATGATCTTTTTTATCTATTTAAGCTTAAAATTTATTATTTCTTTTAAACACTG